CAGCAGTAAGTATAAAATCCAAACCAAAAAGAAAAATAAAATTAAATTTAAATGAAAAGTAAATAATAAAAACTAAAAAACGTACACAATAAAGGATAAAAGCAATTATTTTCCTGTGAAAATATAAAACTAAAAACAATTATTCGATAATATATATGAAACGAATCAAATCTTAAATATTTAATTTATTATATTGCTAAAAAAAACAATAAACGGCGAAAGAAACAAATTTAGTTTTAAGCTTTAGTATTTAAGTCCTTGAAAAAGCTGTTGTATAATTTAAAAGCAATGCAGCTGATTTACTAAGCTCTCATATACAGTTTACCTAACAAATGCTATTTATTTATTAATTTCTATATTATATGTATTATATATAACGAACTATATATTATTATATTTGAAGCTCGAAATGATATGCTATTTATGCTTATTTCAAAAGGTAAAACGAATCAAAGACAACAGTAAAACATAAAAATTACATATATATATATATATTAATAAAAAATTAAGTGAAGTAAAACTTAAAATTAATTAAATATTTAAGCAGAAATGTCATGAAAAACAAATAACACAACGTTTTCTTATATAACAACAAGGAACATAACAGCTCGTCACATATCAATTATAATGAGCTATATATCGGGCATAACGGTACTCGTACTTATAAATGAAACGAAATAAATTGAAATTTTGATGTATTTGAAAGCTAAAATAGAATAAAGAAAAGAGCAGAGGATTTCTCTTAAGATTAAAAGGTGAGTAGAGCCAGAAAACATCTCTTTAATTGGTTGGGAAAACCATGAAGAAAATAAATAAATATAAATATATATATGATATATATCATACGATATATACTATATATACATAACTTAGACTCGTCTTCCAGCAACTAATTGACAACAAAAAGAAACGCAACTAAAATTCAGTAATATTTTCGTTTCAAAATGTAGCTTCAGTTTGGCTCACTATACACACCTATATCTTTATCTATATATATAGATAGCATATGAGAACTGTATAATCTGTTTTTATTTGTATTCCCTTGCAACCTTTGGCTTTACTTCAAATTTGAGAACGTTGAGTTCGAAGTTTCAAAGTAGAGCAACAGCTGATGGTAGTTATTTAATTGGACGAACTTGGACGTAAATATCAGTACAATTTTTGCAACGAGGAATTTTAAATGAATGTAAAATTAAACGTATATAAAGTGAGTTAGATCAAGAGATTTGTTAACGAAAGAAATCCCGATTCGAATCCCTTTATAAACCTTTGATTTGCTCTGGTAAAAAGAAACAGATCAAGAAGAACTCACTAACTGTTGTACATTTGTTTCTCGAAAAACGAAAAACTTAATACTAATAAACGATAAGTGCATTATATTCAAAAACAGAAAAATGAAATGGAAAATGGAAAAACAATTGCAAAAGATGATAAAAGTTCTAATGCTAAGTTGTCACGTATATCTTCTAGGCCATAAGCAACACCCCTTATATGAGTATATATATACAAAAGAAGTTGAATTGACTTTAGTTCTCAACATGTAGCTATACACATATATATCTATATATATGGCATATATGCTCCCATATATATATATATATATATATATATACATATATTGTAACAATTTGCAGCCAACATATATTTGGTAACGTTTAAGCAATTCTTATTTGTTTGGTAATTAGCATAAAGCGGGACGAATCTATATACAAATTGCAAGTCCCGTTGCTCTATACTCGTTTAGAAAACAGAAAACAATCCCCCTATATAACAATTTCCAAAAAGAAAACTGTAAACGCTGTATTTAATTCTTAGCTACAAACAAAAGGATCAGAATAGACCCTGATCAACAAATTTCTCAAGATTTGAAAACGAAATAAACGAAAGTGTTGGCAACAAAAACACAAAAAAAATGAAATTTAAAAAATAATTTGCATTTGATTTAAACAAAAAGAGAAAAATACCAAAAAAAAATATAAATAACTATTTAATTGAAGTAATTAATGTAATTTGTCGTAATTAGTTTGCACGAATTTTCGCAGTATAATGCACTTAAGAAAAAATATGTATCTACAATAACAACAGAATATATATATATATACTCTATATACAACAAATATATATAAAGCCCCAAGAGGTGTGCGTAGCTCGTAAGCCTAACGGATTAACTGCATAATAGTTACGATTAAACTAGTTACAACAATTAGATAATAGTTGAATTAGAAACCACCGTCATATTAGACTTTGTAAAATGTATGTCGTATACAGTGTACAGTGTACACTAACTAAAATGTACGCCTCGTTTCCTGATATGGTATTTTCACATCCAATTTCTACATTTTGACATATTTTCGTAGCATCTTTGTTCACTTTCTGTTCTCTTTCTCTCTCTCTCTCTCTCTTACTAAATACACGCTTTATAGTATTTTTTAGTATTTCTTTTGTTTTCTATTTAAAGTAATACTGTAATATTAGTTAAGTCTACCAATTTTAATTTGTATATAATACACACACACACATTCCCGAATAGCATGTCGCTAGCGAAAAAATATATATCTGAATAACATTATTTATATATATACATAAGCGCGACGCAAACTGTGCTATAAACAAAACTTAATACAGATGAAAATCGTATAATGAAAGCAACTATTTAAGTGGACAATACATCTCAACAACAACAACAACAAAAACACTGTTAAGCAATATACAATTATATATACACACATATATATATATATATATTGATATAAAAACTTTGATACTGAGAAAATCTTTAAACATAACACACACACATATATATATATATGCTAACATTAGTTCATCATGAAACAATTTGATGCTATATATATTGCTATACATTTATATATGTATATATTTGTGTTTGTGTAGTTAATTTAAAAATGCAAGCAAAAAAGTTGAAAAAAAAGAAATACTGTAGTTTGTGTTGCAAGTTGTACTTAAAATGAAAAAACAATAAATAAATATATATATATATATAAATATATATATATAAATAAATATATATATATATATATATATATATATATATATATATATATATATATATATATATTATGCAGTTAAAAAAAAACTAACAAACTCAAGCTGTTATATAATAATTATATGATTATTAAGGTCCAGAAATTCTTTAACGTTTTAGCTTCTTATGCAACAAACATACATACAGACATACATACATATATTAATTAACAATTATATATATATAGAGTATACTTAGTAATAGTCTTGATTAGCGCCTAATTAGTATGCACACACACACAAACACTTTGGTATTTAGTTGCGTACAAGTAATACATGAAAAGAAAACCAAAAATAACACAAAAAAATCATCTAATTGTCGCTGCGTAACTGTAATTATATATGAATAATTAATATTATATATACACATACATACGTACATATATATACATAAATATATATATATATATATATATATATATGTGAATATTATATATATATGAATATTATATATATATATATATATATATATATATCAATAAATGTTTCACATAAAATATATATACATAGATACATATAGTTATTATTGTAGTCCTTATCGAATTATTTCTCCAACACCCAGTAAATAATTTTTGATTAACTCATCTTTTACCTTTCGTATCTCGTAACTCGTATCTGATATTTGTATATTACGTTTAGTTAGTTTGGTATAGAGAAACATATATATTCATGACTTTCGTTTCCTAGCCGAGCACACAATTTTTTTTACAATTCGTCTTCTAAATGTGTAAATTGTTTTTTTAAAGCTATATTTTAGAATTCGTAATATAGGCGTAGATACGACAGCAAAATATGTACGTTACCCGCTTCATATAATAGTAGATAGATCAAGGTTTGGATAAGTATAAGAGTGCTAAATTCGATTAAAGCAAAAGTAGATAATCCATGCGAACATTGGATTGGATTGGATTGGATTCTACAGTTTCGAGAATTAAGAAAATCCTCCATAAAATCAGATATTTTCTTGTTATACCCTGATCCCATGGAAAATGGGAAATCAGGGTATAATGGTTTTGTGCAAATGTTATTCTTGATCAGGACGACAAGCCGAGTCAATTGAGCCCTGTCCGTCTGTCCGTATGTGTGAACGCGTGGATCTCAGCATCTATAACAGCTAGAGACTTAAAATTTTTGTAGGTCCGTGTATAGCACGCGCATATCGAGTTTGTTTCAAATATTCGATAACTATTCGCATTTAATTGTTATCGAATAAAAACATGATTGAAATGTTATTAAATTATATCTCGGACGTCTGAAGAGCTAGATCCTCCATTGTCAATTTTGTATTTAGTTTTATGTATATTTTATGCAATTTTGATTTTTGTGGGATTTTGGATCCCGGCTCCAAATTTCATACATACATTCAAATGCGTGTATTCTTTTCTATTCGAAGAATCGAAATTGCACTTAAATTGTGCTGAATTCTTAGCTGCTAATTAACTTCAAATTTGGCACTGCTCGAGTAAGCCGTGCAGTGACTGCGTTGGTAGAGACGGCGTCCGTATGCAGTTGATGCAATAGGAGCAATAGGACATTTTTTTTTATTTTATTTTTTTTAAATGTGAAGTAGCGATAGAGTTGGCGCACGTTGCGCAAACAATTAGGGTCCAAATCCTGGTCTCGTAATGTCGTTTTTTATTTATTTATTTATTTTTTTTGAATACTCGATACAAACTACGGAAAATATTAATAAACGCAGATAGGACTGGGATCAGGGTATCTCCTTGTCGGGCAACCCGACTAGAGTTTTCCTACTTGTACATTTTTCACTGCTATTGCATATTTCTATGGTTTGGAAGAAATTCATTTTAATTTTATTTTTTAGCAAGGTTGCCATAGCGTATTAAACGATTTCTACGAAAGTTAATAAAATCAGATTTACGAGCTGAGCGAGGGGAAGACATAACTTCCTATTCCTTTTAAGAATTTGGCTATAGGACTTCAATGCAATGACTTACCCCCCAATGGTGTTTCAAAGCAGTTGACGAAAATACAATACTTGGATTGTCCGTCCAGGGAACAGATGGCTCTACAAATGATGACGCATTGTAATCTGTCGAAAGACATCTTCGTGGGATTTGTAAGAGCACTTACCAACAAATACACTGCTATTTCGAGCTAGACCATATTTCCCAAAATGTAACTAAAATAGAAGTATAGAGGGAATGTTATCCAATAAGAATGGCATCAGCACAGCATGGGTATTTCACCTTTGGAATCACATGGAAAAGTTCACGAATCGGGGCGCCAGCGGACACTAAACGAAAGGCCATAATACGCTTACGCTACCTCTTAAACTAATTTAAAAAAAAAATACCGTGTTGCCTTATAAGTGGGCACATGCACTTGCACTTCAATGTAGAATAGTTCCGAAACAACTGAATACTGAATTTAAACTAAAGTTGTGACAGTTCCCGAAACTGATTTAGAGGGGCTTTTCGGCCACAGGTTGCTTTCTATGTTATCCTTTAACAATAAATAAGTCTATCAAGTGTTTTATGTACATATAAAATATATTGGACTGGAATTTCATATAATATTGCGATATATATACTTAATCGACGGAAAGAATCATGGCTTAGTAAGTGGGCTTACAGTGATAGCTAAAGTTAGTTACAAATCGGCAAAGATTTTTAGTTTTACATCGAGAGATTCCAAGAGAGTATCTATATAGATATATATTTATATATGTACCTGTATTACTCTCGAAAATATCCGCATTTGTTGTATACTCAACAATTTAAATTTATTTAAAAATAAATTAAATTTTTTTTATAAAACTCTTATACAAGATTACATTTATAGAGAACGCGTACGGCATGCGACGAGTGTGTGTTGGCACGCCTTAGATTGGCCTTATCTGCATCCATCTGCCCCTCCGCTATATATATATATGTATAGTAAGTATGATTGAATCTTTAGTTTCGTTTAACACCAGAATTTTTCGTCGCGCTAAGCTGACGGCTGGAGCACGCTTTTAACTAATTGAATCCTTATCTGGGCAGCGAGCAAATTTCGCAGGATGTCAGCTCGCCGCGATTGATGAAGGTGCAATGGTTGCAAGTCCAGGTGTTGGCATCCATATCCATGGCATCGGCACCAGCAGCGCCGGCGCTAGACGTTGCACCACTGGGATAGTTCGCCGTGCCACTACAAATTAACGTAAAGGAGTATTAGCATTTGAATAAAGAAGTGTAAGTGAATGAGAAGTACACTTACCCACTGCCTGTGGAGCTAGCCTGTACCAGCGATTCGAGCAGCTTCCAGACTTCCTCGCCTTTGAATTCTGCTGCCTGATTGGGATTTTTGGCGCGCACCGCCTCAAACAGCGGTCCCATATGCTGGCGCAAGGGTAGCATGTCCATTTTGTACAAATAGATCAGCAAATGGAAGTCCGAGATGGCCTCGAGAAAATCTTCTTCAGCCCAAGCGGACAGATAGTTACTCAACGCATTGAAGTCCTGCAGATGGCCATCGATATAGCGATTCTCAATGGGGAATGGCTGGCGTTTGTCGTACTCCGTGAATGTGAATTGCGGCTGCAGCGGCGTTGAGGCGGGCACATCTACCAGCAGATATTCCACGGGCAGTGGACGGGCCAGCCGCTGCACCTCGTTGCCATATTGATCCTTCTCCTGCAACCAAAAAAGATAGCAACAAAAACATTATTTGTAAGACATCAAAAAAGCTCCTAATAAAGTAAATTAATAATTGAATTTATTGTGTTTACGGATGGGGAAATGCAACAGCCTTTTTGTCTTTGCTTCTGCCTGCTCCAATGACCTACATCCCGAAGAGGAAGTGATGCGCGCGGAGCTTTTGCAAACTGTTTGCTTTGCTCGGCAAACAAGACGAATTTTGGGGCGTGCTAGACAGGCAGGCACTTGCCCTGGACAAAAGCGTCTGCTGTTGCGTCTGTTAGGGTTATCAGGTCAAACGCAATCAAATCATGAGCACGTCATCATCGTGAGCTTACGAGTTAAGGCGAGACGAAAGCTTTAGCTTCAGAGAGAACGTACAGCATAAAGAGCACGCTCTCTTACAGTTGGTTATTCTCCCTGAGCTGCAGTCGAGTTTTTGACGCATGCAACAGTTTGCCGTGCAGAGACACAAGCATTGCTAAAATATTAATAATTTCTATAACAAAAAACATATATAAAAAAAACAAGTAGGAGTGCTCTTGTGGAGACTGTTCGAACCCTGTAAAGAGGTGACAATTCCACCACTCAAAGCTTCTTTCATACGTAGCAACACATGCACACTCACATACACACGCACACATAAACAGGGTCTCAGCTTACTGCTGCGCTTATGGGGTACACAGTAATGAGTTAATTGTTGTACATGGATTTTCTTAATCAAATTTTCAAAACGTCATCATGATATTTAGATGTGGGTATCTGCCAAGACACAAGTCTCTAGTAGGAATCCAAAATATGTGTACGCATTACAAGAACCCCCACAGTAAATTTGATGTTACCATCTTGTGTAGTATTCAAGGTACACTGAAAAATGGAAAATTTCGATTTTTATCGATTATAAGGAATTGTGATAAGTTATACACTAGTACTGCGTATGGTAGGCAGAAATATATATTTCAAATTATAATTCTCTAGCTTTTGTGGTTTACGAGGCTGAGGCATTCATACGGACGAACTGACGGACAGACCGACATGGGTAGATCAGCAATATATTAACTTTTTGGGGTCTGCAACGACGCTTTCTACCCCTTACAGACAATTCAACAAATTACTATTATATAACTATATACCAATTGAAGTATATATTTGGTAAGTTTATGAAAAACCCTACGATATAATATTTAGGTACATGAAAGATGTGGTAGTTGAAAAGTGTATTGTAAAAAATATACTTTAATGTTTGAAAGATCAATATAATTTCCTCTCATATACAAATTTGATTGTCAGATTCGAGAAACTGTCTAAAAGCCGAAGTAATCAAAAGATAAAATCAGAAGCGAATTGTAAATTTTATAGCTTCTGTTTTTAAGTTATTTGCAGATAATTTCTGAAGAAAATCAAATGGGTTTTTATTGTGTGACATATTAAAATGCTTAATTCACTTGAATTTGAAACCATAAACTCTTGCAGCTCTGGTGAAGACAGACACACGGAGATGATGATGCTAACACACCTGTGGTTTTTGACCAAGAACGCATAGAATTGGCTGAGTCAAAAATATCTGCTTTTGACTGCGACATGCGCTAGCAACAGCTACAAGTTAACTCACTGACAACTACAAATGGGGTTTAAGGTTTAAGGTTTGAGCTTTTAAATGCTCTACATAAACGAGTTCCGATCAGAATTTTTAGTTCAGTGCTTACTTAGTTTATTCCAAACTGGACCACGAATATTTATCTAATAAACTACCTTGCTGTAACTAAGTGGCGTCAGCTAAAGAGATTTGCTCGGGAGCTGGATTTATTGGGGCACAGCGCGCTTGGGGCACACTTCAAAAAAGGCTATGTGAGATTTAGCAATGGATGACAACATGAGACTCGAAAGTGAAATAAAAAACGCAAAACCGAGAATATTGATGTGTGCTGTGTCCCGTAAACGCTGTGTGAAGGCATCCCTTTGCCACATGGCCTTTATTGCACTGCTTGGTCAATAAAGTACGCTTCAATCGGCGTGGCTTGGCTGGGAACAGATTCATGTCGCAAACAGAGCGGGCAAAAGTTTGCACTGCACGGACTCCACTGGCCAGGTATGATGCAACAGAACAAATTTAATTGCGACCCAATAAATGCTCCTGAACCAACAGATGCCAATGTTTATGCAAATGACTTTATTATCGATGACGTTGACACGCTGACGATGATGATGACGGCAATAACAATAATGGTGAATACGGTTGAATGCTTGGAACATGAAAACAAACACGAACTCAAAAGGAGCGCTAAATGGGCGTATCACAGCGCTGGTTAGGTCACAGAGTTCAAACAGGTGTTCGATGCGTGCGCGAGTGGCTTGAAAAGTTGTCAAGCTAACAACAACTGTATTTTAATTTAAATAAAATAGCTATTGTTTCATAATCTTCGATTATCATCATATGCAGCTTGGACATTTCTAAAAATAGCTAAATATTAAATTACTCTGTGGCCTCTTTCTTATTACATTCCGTATAAATTGAATATATATTTCAATGTCAATCATCATCAAATAAAGACATCTACTTTAATTTACATTTAGTAATCTCATTGTTATCATTTATATATTTCAATTTACATTTAGAGCATGCCTCTATTCAATATTCTCATGACTTCTCAATTAACTAACACAAAAGATGGATCAAGCGTATGACAAGTGCCAGACAATGCCTATTACATACCAAACGCAAAGTGCTTAATTAAGTGTTCAAGCCGACAGAATCAATTTCCCAATTACTAAATATATGCGTGCGTCTGTAAACAGGTCGTCGAAGGCAACGTTCACAAACAGATTTCTGATTGAAACTGCAACAATCCGCTTAACTATTGGCACCACATTAAAAAACATACATATATATGCAAAGAGGTAGTGTAAATAGTAGTGGCTGCTAATAAATTTACAAATTATATATAACATTACTGCAACTTCGTATATTAGGTTTTACGCAGTTGTTTTGGTCTAATGCTTAGTTTAACACAAACTGGACACAAACACAGTTAACTTAACCTTGAATAAGCTCAGAATTTTTTACAAATAGCCAAGCACTCAAGTTCCATCTCATCTGAAGCAGTTGGAATTTTGGTTATCAGAGTACATATTTTGCTATACCACAAAAAAAATAGGTAAGAAAGCTCTAGTCGGGGTACCCGACTAGGAGATACCCTGATCCCAGTCCCATCTGCGTTTAATATTTTCAATTGTTTGTATCGAGTTAAGAAAGAAACCAAATAAAAACCGACATTGCGACACCAAAATTCGAACCAGCTTTTTGTCGACGCAACGCTCAACTCTAAAAACTTGGCATCTACGAGCGCCGCCTCTACCCACACGCGTTGCGTATCTCAACTTAAGAAGCAGCTGACAATTCAGCACATTTCAGCTGCAATTTAGATTCTTGGAATAGAATTTGAATGTATGTGTGCACACGTATACGAAAAATTCATACGCTTGGCGATGCTTAACAAGTGCATTTACAAATTGGCCAAAAGTTTAGATTAATAACTTCTGTTTTACTTAATGGAAAGTTTCAGCATATGAACTAAATATTCTATTGACTTGGTAGAAATGCAAGCTAATTTGGGGAAATTTAGAGCCGGTATCCAAAATCCAACAAAAATCGACATTGTATAAATATACATTCAACTAAATATAATATTTGGAGGCTCTAACTCTAAAGCCTAACGAGATATAATTTAAGAAGTGTTTTTAATCAATGACAATACAACGGGATTAGTTATCGAATATTTAAAATATACAAGTCTCAAGCTCTTATTGATGTTGAGATCGACGCGTTCACATATACGGACAGACGGGCAGGGATCAATCGACTCGACCTGTCGTCCTGATCAAGAATATATATACTTTATGGGGTCTGCCACGCCTCCTTCTGCCTGTTACATACATGTGCACAAAAGCATTACACTCCGATTTCCCATCTTCAATGGGATCAGGGTATAAAAAAACCAAAACGAAATGAAGCAGGCAAAGTGAAAAATGTCTGCCATAAACACAAGCAACACACAGCGTGCACACACAGTCGGACAAAATACATTTCCGGAATTGACTAATCAAACATGACAAATAGACCACAGAGCATAAAATGTCTGCAGCAGTAGCAACAAAAGTGGGAGGGAGTCTACCTTCCTGAGTCGGTGTCGGTGTTAATGTTGGTGTGCGTATGCAGGCAAAGAAATGCAGCACCAATTGACATTGACATTGAGCCGCAGGAATAGCCCAGTAGCAACTTTCATAAATGCCCAAACTAAATTTAAGAGAGCGACAGCAGAGCAAAAGCTTTCATCGGCTGCCTATAAAAGCGGACGTTGTGCTCTGCATGCACTGCACTTGCCAACGAATCTCAGGACGCATCGCACGCACGGCAGCAAAGGACTTAAACGCACGCAACAGGAACAACAGCAATAGACTTGGAGTTCCCCTTAGTGTTAATTTAATGGGTTATTAGCCTGTTAAGATGCACAGCCAACGATCCAGCCAATTTCGCACCCAAAACAACAGAAACAACAATATCAACAATGTTTTGGACAGCGGTTGCGTCCTCAGCTTTAGCTTCATCTACTGCGAATAATTCCTCTGCTCGGGCTAGTGCAGCGCCCAGCTACAGGCAGCAACATTCCAAGCCGCCCCGAGTCTATGCCAGCAGCTGGCAAACGAGTAATGCAGCATTCAAGACGCGACGCTATGAGCAGCAGCAGCAGCACCAGCGAAAGCCACGACTGCAACAAATAGACGAGGAGCAACAACAAATCGAGCCACAGCAGCAGCGGGAAACTGGAAACGAGGAGAAAATAGTGCAAGAAAAAACCAAAAAAGTAAAGAAAGTAAATCAGAAAAGTGAGAATAGTATATTCAAAGCTATAACGTCCAGCAAGTTCAAGTGCAAGTGCATACAAGGCGAATCGAACTAGGCAGCCGAATAGTAAAATCAAATACAGTTAAGCTCTCCTATAACGACTGCCAAACAACGTATAAGTGTACTGTGAAAGATTACTGAAAACATTTTCAAGCCAACGACAAACAATCAACTTAAATCAAATTAAAAAAAATCAAAAAAAAAAACCAAACGATTTTCAAATTGGTGTAAATTTAAAACTGCTTCAACATGAGGTAAGCATAATGGATATACATTTAATCTGATATACATACATATATCTCTGTAACATACAAATCGATTTCATAAGGCAGGTATATATTCGAGCATTCCAGTGAATGAGTTATGAGTTTTCTAGTTTCCTGGTAGCTGCTGGCAAAAATTGAAATCCTTTTTAGATGTCGTAATATCTTGTACTATTTAAATAGTTAACACATAGTCGCAATAGTCAACAGTCAACTAAATTACGTGAACTGCTGTCCAGCTAATAAATGCGAGCAATCTGAGGTGACAAATGGACAAAGTTCCTAGAAGTTTTGGCCAAAATAAATTGGTAATATATAATTGTATTTAAGAAGACATTTGGTACTACTTAAAACTTTATTACAGAGAGAATTCAATTAATTTTTTACACCGAAAAAGTAGTTATTCCAATTTCAAATTACATATTGAGTTATACTGAAGCAGCATATATTTGTTAGTATTTGTTAAGAAGTCACTAGATCTATATATAACTACAATTAACACATATTCACAATAGTCAATAGTCAACTAAATTACGTGAACTGCTGTCCAGCTAATAAATGCGAGCAATCTGAGGTGACAAATGGACAAAGTTCCTAGAAGTTTTGGCCAAAATAAATTGGTAATATATAATTGTATTTAAGAAGACATTTGGTACTACTTAAAACTTTATTACAGAGAGAATTCAATTAATTTTTTACACCGAAAAAGTAGTTATTCCAATTTCAAATTACATATTGAGTTATACTGAAGCAGCATATATTTGTTAGTATTTGTTAAGAAGTCACTAGATCTATATATAACTACAATTAACACATATTCACAATAGTCAATAGTCAACTAAATTACGTGAACTGCTGTCCAGCTAATAAATGCGAGCAATCTGAGGTGACAAATGGACAAAGTTCCTAGAAGTTTTGGCCAAAATAAATTGGTAATATATAATTGTATTTAAGAAGACATTTGGTACTACTTAAAACTTTATTACAGAGAGAATTCAATTAATTTTTTACACCGAAAAAGTAGTTATTCCAATTTCAAATTACATATTGAGTTATACTGAAGCAGCATATATTTGTTAGTATTTGTTAAGAAGTCACTAGATCTATATATAACTACAATTAACACATATTCACAATAGTCAATAGTCAACTAAATTACGTGAACTGCTGTCCAGCTAATAAATTCGAGCAATCTGAGGTGACAAATGGACAAAGTTCCTAGAAGTTTTGGCCAAAATAAATTGGTAATATATAATTGTATTTAAGAAGACATTTGGTACTACTTAAAACTTTATTACAGAGAGAATTTAATTAATTTTTTACACCGAAAAAGTAGTTATTCCAATTTCAAATTACATATATCACTAGATCTATATATAACTACAATTAGCTTGCTTTCGATTCAATAATTTTTGTTGTGTCGGTTGTAGTTTGTGTTTTCGGTGGCTTAGAAATGAGCACGAATTGCATTGAGAGGTTCCCTATAATTGAATTTAATACGCGTGAATAGCAGTTAATTTAAGTTGCTGTCAACAATATTTGTTGATTTTTAATATGAAAAAGTTAGAAAAGCTCCTTAAGAGCTTCTGCACAAACTATTGCTCCACATATTATGCACTGTATATATCTCAGTATATATACAAAAGGACTCAGACCACTAATTATCGAGGTATTTTACAGAGCAAAGGCCAAATGCGACTTAGGACGCTGAATTGTTCTTTTCTCAGAACAATCAACGTATTCCATTCTGTCATGCTTCATCTGCAATATATCTTGCCTCTTTATGGAAAATACCTAGAAGATATAAAATATGCTCTATTCACGTTCGTAAGCCCCATTGTGCCCCACTTGGGCATTGTCTCTATGATTTGCCTCTAGTTAGCCAATAATTAGTGCGCTTTTCAGGGCAGCGGCAATTTTTGATTGACGGCAAACAACAGAAAAGTGACCACAGCGCCACAAACACATAAAATTGTATTGCCTGGCAAATAACAGCGTTAGTCAAACGTCAAATGTACTGATCATCAACGTTAATTTTGATGGATATTGTGTTTCGCAGGAATTTAGCTGTGGGCAATGCATTAGAAACTCGCTTGCAAAAAGGGAAATCTCAAGCGTATGCAACTAGTTTCATTTAAATACATGGACTTGCTCTTCTTGGTGTAGTTGGTGTTGCAACCTAAACCGTAAACATAAGCATGTAGCATCACAGTCCTTAGTCGAATGCCGACTTTCGTGTAAGCGAACGAAAAATGTGCAGAGTCTGACATATGCAGCTCAGCGAAAAGCGCACAAGCACACAGGTAAACACACACAAATACCGCCCATGCTCCCACAACTCGACAGAAATGTACAATAATTAGTCCATGGCAATGGCAATGAAACTAAATCCAAATTGAAACCGAAACTAAAATACACACTCACACAACCCTGACCATAAACGACATTTCATTTCCAATGGGCAGAGTCAGGTTTTATTATTCTACGGCTTTAAATATTCGCAACTCTTGCAATGGCAAGTCAAACTAGGAGACTCCTCAATTACGGCAGTTTTATATAGATAACTCCTTCAACTGTTTAAGTAAAATTTTCAAATACAAAAATAGTGGATCGATTAGGGATACAGACAGCTTATGAGGCACACGCACAAGCCTTTGGCTGTGTTCGGCCAAAGGATTGAAGACCATTTTATATAGCTTTGAAACATAAAAAATAAAGTATATATTTACATTTTGTATTACTAAACAAATAAGAATGTTGCAGTTGGAAGGAACACAATTTCCAATATACTCTTTTGAATTCGCGAACGAGTATAATTAAGTGCAGATGCAACGCTTTCAAAAGAGTAAGCTGGAATACACGAAAATTTGTATGAGTAATAAGTACAAATTGCAGGTGTGTGGGCGTGCGTACCCCACACAGTCGTGTATGTGCACGGCTGTCCTCCTAACGGGAGTTAATGTTAAAAAACGCATTTAACATGTTTTTACTTCATATTTTATTGTTTCTAATTCATATTAAGCGAGCAACTTTTAATTTCATGTGGGAACTGCCGCTGTGCACATCCGCCATCTCTTATATATATTATATGGATGATCGCAACACGCGCCAACTATCTAATTAAAGTCGAGTCGAATTCTTTTGAAGGTCAAACAATTTATATTTTTTGCATAAATTATGCGCTGAAATATATGTGTAAACGGAGTAGGAAGTTTGCAAAAATGGACACAGCAAAGGACAGCCCTCAAAAGCTGATAAAGTAGTGGCATAAGCTAAGAAAATTAAGTTGAGCTCTTCCAATAAACATGTAAGTGTTGCTGTTTTCACTCTAAAGAAAAATTTAAAACATTTTCAACTTTTCGATTTTCTTAAAAGTAAGACAAATTATTAATATTGACTTGTACAGGTAAACAATTTAAGCTGAATGCAAATTCATTTTGCGAACTTAAAGTGGATACGTGGCACAAACTTTCAATGCATCGGTGTATCTAAAGTTTTGTAATTAAAGTTGGAGTTAAGTAGAAACATTTCATTGGCGATGTAATGTGCTGTTGCATGTTTGGTATACAAAAAAGAAGCGATGCTTAAACTTTTCTCTGAGCCATCTGCAGCTGTATTGATGAATTGATTTTCAATAAGCCATGCAGCTTCTAAACGGAACAGCTAATTAGCCTAATTAAGTCTTCAGGTGTTACCGCTGAAAAGCAACACGTCGTAATGTGTGGACTCAACAAGTAGCAAAATCAAAGCAGGAATATGTTGGGCAACATAACTAATGCATAGCTAAGCAGATCAAATGTCTGTGAAAAGGCTGCGTAATAACTGAATCAAAATGAGACAGAGGCAGAGGGAGGGAGAGGGAGAGAGAGGTTTGTTTAAACAATGTTATCTGACGCCAGTAGACAACAAAGAAATTTATATAAATACATATATATAAAACTGGACTGGTTGTAGCTTGAATTTGACATTTAGATTCACTCATTACGCGGCCTTTTCACATACATTTGATTTGCTTTGCATTTTAATAATTATGTTGCCAAAAGCATTTCTGTTTTTTTTTTCTACTAAACTCAACAATCTCAAAATACAGCTGAAAAGTATTAAATATTTGTAATATTAAGTTAAGTTTTGTCTAAATATACATTCAATAAATTTAACAGTCTGCCAGCACTAAAATTCACTTTACAGCAGCGCCTTTGGCAGTCAGCATAAATGCTTTGACGAATTTCATTAAATTAAAATATTGTATTTCATTGCGAACTAATATATAAAAGGAAGTTTAATTTAATATATTCTGTGGGTTGTCTCAAACCTATATTGTGGTATGTTGTGTCACCATTTTAAATATGAATTCCATTTGGCATTCTGGAATGATGGATACATACAATACAAAATATTGTGCATTTGTTGCATTGGTATTTCACCGACCACACAGCAGGCGCTTGGCTCTGTGCCTCTTCGTCAGCCTGTCCACCTATTATTATAGGAATATGTTGTATGATTCTGAATTAAATTCAGTAAGTAAAGACAACAAAGACGGGTGTGTGGTCTATTTTTAATAGGCATTCGAAGCCGTAATAAAATAAATTAATTAAATAACTTTACGCTATGCTATAAGAAATAAGTACGATATTCATGTTTAGCAATATACGCTAGTTTGGTTCAAGGATAAGCAGGCCAGACATTTGAAATTTAAAGTAGAAGAGCCAATGAGAAAAGAGTTAAGAATTGATCTTTTAAAGTACAAATCACGCCATGCTACATATATACAAACTCCTCTTAGACTTGTGTACAGCAATATAAATTAACAAGCTAATACTAGATGGAAATAGAAGCTATAAGTATTTGCCAGACACATCACAAAGTAAAATCTCAGCTAATATATATTATTAATGCATTATCTATTGATCTCTCTCTCCCACTGACTCTTCCATTCTTCCATATATTTAGCGACTTCGTGGAAATACCAAAAAAACTGTTAAAGCTGCTCAGCTGCGACTTATGCAAATCGACTTATTGTGTAAACAATCCCGATCGACAGCCAAATGAACTGAGCTGTCGGCATATCTTTTGCTCCGGCTGCGTGGATCAACTGGCCGTAAGGTCGGCCATTGTTTGTCCGGAATGTGGCGGACAGACACTGCTGCCGGTGTTCAGAAGTTTGATCGTGCACGATGGTTTGCTGTTTTTGCTACAGCAGTTGCCGGCGCTTAAGCTGGGCAGGATCATGTTGCAACAGCAGAAGGAGCAGCGACTGCAGCTAAAAGAAGACAATGTATGCCGTTCGCCCTGGCCCAAAGGGTTAAATGAAGTCAGCGTGGCACGTTTTATACAAGGCGACAGCGGCCATTGTGTGTTCCACGATAAGCCCAGCTCGATGTGGTGTCACACCTGCCAGCGGCTGTTGTGTAACAATTGTCCTCTAGCCGACCACCATGGTCACGAATCGTCCCGACATTTGAATTCGGACGAACTAATGCGTCAGATGGTCAAAAACCAGCTAGAACTGATTGAAGAAGAAATCAAGGGTGCCGCGGTCATAGCATCGGCGGACTTAACACTGTTGCGTCGTCTCTGCGACGCCTGTGTTTCAACTCAACAGATACTACAACATGAAATGTTGAATCATGCGCCAACGCTTCGGCTCTGCCAAATGCGCGATTGGTTTCTACGCGCTAGGCTCCAAATACAGCAGCATGAAGTCGTCGCGAATGAGGTAAGTCCGTCTCAATTGGTGCGCTTGCTCAAAGAGCTGATCGACCGGAATGCCGAGTTCCAACAATTTACGTTGTACAACTATAACGAGTGTCGTCTGCGTGCGATCATCCAAGAGTCGAGTCTACAGCCGATTGATTTTGAACAGCTAAATCGAAGACTGTTGTCGGTGCGCCAGCTACCAGAAAAGATCTCAAAAGTTACATCCGACCCGTCACCGACACTGCTTCTAACCAACTACTGCATCTATTCATACTGGTGGAATATGCAATGTCAAGTGCTCATACGCAAGCCTAATGAGCAGGATGGGATGCAGAAGGATGGCAAGAAAAAGGAAAATTTACAGGAGGACATGAAGCAGAAGAATAAAGAGCGGAAGAATAAGGAGCAGAACGATAAAGAGCAGACGGATGCAGGACAAAAGAATAAACAGCAGAAGAAAAAGGAACAGCAGAGTAACGTGCAGAATGACATGAAACAGGATAACAAGCAGAAGAACCAGGAAATGGTAAAACCCATTTTACCGCACTGCCAGTTCAATTGCAATGACTTCTGCACGCTATGGGAGGAAACCAGCAACAGCAGCAATAACAGTCCATCCAACCAAGGCAACGACGGAAAGCATCCAATAAGACAACTGTTTGACAACAAAAAAAACAATCGGCCACAAATGTTGATTGCGACTCAGCCACGGCCAGCAACTTCTAAAAGTTATGAGCCAGACCATAATGACAAGGTACAGGTGTCTGCAGAGTTGCATCCATCTCCGATCAAACAACAGCAGCAGATCATGCAAATCCAGAAGCCGCAACCGATCATGCTAACCGACAAGCAGCAGCAACCGATAGTACTAACTCAGCAGAAGCAGCCGATAAAGCTTATCCAGAAGCAGCAGCCGATCATGCAAACCCAGCAGCATCAATCAAGCATTCAAGCTATGCAGGAGCGATCGATCAAGCCCAATAGCTTTGACTACAACATGGCCAGTACATCTGCTGCGGCAGCAGCAGCTGCAGCTGCGGCAACCGCTGCCCAAGCAGTCATCGTTCCGAATCTTCCCATTTATCCGATGTCCCCAATGCAACTCAATTATTCCCCCTCACCTGTTTCCTATCCCGTTTACTTTCTGGATATGGAAATAGCAGGCAATCGAATAGGCCGCATTATTATTGAAGTATACGACGATGTTGCCCCGCGAATGGCAGAAAACTTTCGTTTGCTCATCCTGCACGGACGCGGCTTTGGCTTTAAGGGCTGCAGTGTATTTCAGACCTGGAACAATGATAGCATCGTCACGGGCGACTTTGAGCTGCAGAATGGTCGTGGCGGCTTTTCTGCACTTGAGGATCGTTTCTTTATGCCAGATAAGACCGGATTGATAGCCCAACGAGGCACAGTGGGCATGCGTCGTGGCCACAAACGTTATGACAACAACGGATTCGTAGGCAGCCAGTTTCGCTTGGTGCTTAATGATACGCGCTCCTACACGGCTATATTTGGCTTCATTGTGGATGGTATTAACTTGCTGGACAGGATTGCAGGCCTAGGCGATACAAATGGAAACCCTATGGTGAGCATATCGATCATGAATTGTGGCAAGTATCGACGCGGCAATCTCTAAGCAGAATGGGTGAGTGGAAACCCTGGCAGTTTTTTTTTAACACAACTCTATTCAATTCTATGCAGGCCAAAGAGCTCATTTATCTCGGCAGCTAACGACACATACCTAGTGTAACATATGTATGTATGTCAACGTGGTAAGCCATACAACACTTTTTAAAAATATATTTCAGAACGAGTAGAGCAAAACTTTTGATAAGCATTTTACATAAAAACTGAAGATGCATCAAAAATCAGTATTATCAATATTAGTAGTGAGTACACAATACACAACTTTTGGAAGCTTTTTTCAAAGAATTTTTAAGTCTTAACAGACTAACTCCATGTAACCGAAAACAATACTAATACTGAAATATTCAGAAAATAATGGCAACTAAACACTATGAACAGACAACACTTCTAAAAACTCAAAACTTGACTTCGAGTTTTTGAAAATATTTGTGCTAAAAAAATGAATATTTTACTAATTCTGAACACAGAGAAGACAATTTTGCAAGCAAAATCATTTATAGATTACAGGGCATCAGTAAGTAAATGTCTTTTTCAGAAGCCAACAGAAATACATTCACCTTTCTCTATATAAATGTAAATGTATTTTAAAGCTGAAGCAACACAACTATTTTATTTAAGGAACTACCACTTGAGTTACCTTCACAAACTGCATACAAAACGAAAATAAAATTTAAAGTAGTATCTAAGTTTTAAACAAGATATAAATGTACTTTTTGAAGATGAATAATCTCTCGACGATTTTATTGTAATGCTGACTAATTCAATTTAATGCTGAATATTAACAAGTTTCTTTGAATCGAAACAAAAAAATTAAAATATTGAACAAAACTATAAAATAATTTATTGAAAAAAATAAATGAATAAAAATGTAAATCTGCATAAGGCAGTAAAGTATTACTAACAAGTTATTTTTAACTAAGCTGAAGAAACTTAACACACCAAGTTTGAATGTAATTCTGAACAAAATTACTTTACAAGAAAAAAAACATATAATTAACTAATTTAAAAGTTTCAATTGCTTAGATATTTCTTTAAGCATTTATTTATAATTTATAAAAATCAGAAAAATATTATATTGTTTAAATTGTAGGATAGTTAGAACGAAAAAACGGAAAAAATGTGCTCATATTTACAAAGAGCTGATGAAATTGATTGAACAGAAATACAGAAATTAATACTTGACTAAACGAAAGTGGAATATGAACAGTATTATTCTCGATTAGGTTGATAATTAAAATGAGTTTAGCTCAATTAATTAAACTTCCTTGAAGTGTATATTTTAAAGTTCTCGCCCATCCCTTGAGCAATTACTAACAACTGAAATATGAATATATTACCAAAATATCTAAATGTTTAATGACTTTATTTATGTGTTTAACTGTCTAACTATATATATATTTACAAATGGAGCTTAAAATCTTGGTGAATTCCTAAGAGAATTTCTGAACAATAATAAAGAGAACATAGTACAATTTGCTTGCTCAAGAGCAGCTAATATTAAAATACATATAACTCAATGCATCAAAATTATCAAAATTGACCGATTGAAATTTGACAATCGCACGATAATTCCGTAAGAGACACGTGAAATATTTCAATAAAAATATTAAGCTCTATTTATATAAAATGTAACATAGTAACCGAGATTCATATTTGGAAATTTTAAAAAATATTTCAAGCCTATTAGAGCAAAAATTTGATAAGCATTTTACAAAAAACATCAAGAGGCGTCAAAAATCAACAGAATATACTCAATCCACCCAACATTTTGAAGAATATATATTTATTTTTTTTTTAAGTTTTAACAGAAGTTATATAGAAGGATATACCAGAGTAATTTTTTTATCAGTTTTCGGCAATATTCAGAAAATATCGAAGAACAACTGAAAATCTATAAAGAACTTTTCAAAACTAAAGTAAATATTTTGCGAACATTTTAAAGTCTATTGGAATCAACTCTAAACGAATTTAAAATTTTGAATCTTTTTGGAATATATACATGTATCTTTACGTCAAATATTAAAAGAATTAATAGAAGAAAAAAACAAAAATATTAAAAGAATTTAAAGATATATTGAAAATAATATTTTACACACAAAATTTTCTCTATATAAATGCAAATGTATTTTAAAAGTGGATCAAAACAAAAACTGTTTTCCGCAAAGAAAATTCATTATAATTATTGCAGAAATTGCAATAACCTACCAGAACCGCGAAATTTCAAATTTCAATGAAAATGCAACTCAAGCTAAAACTAGTGTGCAAACTATAATCAAAACATAAATGTACTTCTTGAAACTGAATATTCTAGCGACCATTCCAATTCAATATACTAACTACATAAATGGCAACATATCGAACAAATCTATACAACATTTTTTTTTTCAAATATATTCTAAACGTTTTGATCAAACTATAAAATATATTATTGAAATATAATGGTTTTTGTTAATATAAATTTGACGTAAAAAATAAGAAAGTGAAACTGTATAAGACAGTGAAAAAACGGTTTTCAAAGCAGTAGTGAAATGTCGAAACTATCCAAGTTTGAATGTAATTTTGAACAAAAACACTTTGGAAAAAAGTTTAACGCTAAAAAAATATCGTACAAAAATATTCAAGTTCACCTATAGTTCTAAGTTCTACACTTTTAAACATTTTATAGTTCGTTAAATATTTCTTCAAACAATTATTTAGAATTTAATTTAATAACAAATATATATTATTTAAATTTAAGGATAGTTAGAACGAGCCAAAGGAAAATTAAATTATACAAAAATGGTGAAATTTATTGAACAGGAATATAGAAATTCATAATTGAATAACGAAAGCGGAACATGAACAGTCTTATTCTCAATTAGGTTGATAATTGAAATATTTTAAGCTCAATTAATTGAACTCACTTGAAGAAAATATTGAACAGATCTCGCCCCTCCTGTGAACAATTACTAACAACTGAATATATGAATATGAATATTTTATCAAAATATCTCAATGTTTAATATAAGAAATGATCGGATTCGAAGTTGAGAAGCGCTCGATAATTCCATAAAAAACACTTCATATTCTAAATGTTTTAATAAAACTATAAAATATCTTATTGAAAAAATGTCGTTCGTGTTTAACAAACAAAATATACAATTAGAAGTAGAAAAATTATAATGTAAAACTGCAGAAGAAAGTGTAACAAAGGTATTCAGAGCATTACTGAAATGCCAGAAAACTTTATATTTAACTAAGTCGCAGCAGCTTAAAACCATCCAAGTTTGAATGTAATTCTGAACAATAATAATTTAATACAAAAGTTTAGCGCTTCAAGTTTTGCTATATTCAAAACGTATATTTAACGCATAGTTTACACACTTAAATAGTTTTTTTATTTCCTTTGATATTTTTTTAGGCAATCGTTTACAATTTATATTAAAAACAAATCATAAATAATTATTATATTATATTATTATATATTGTTTAAATTTAAAGATAGTTGAGACGAACCAAAGAAAAATTAAATTATACATTTATTGAAGATACCAAATGTGCTCACATTTGAAAATTAGCAAAAGCTGGTGAAATTGATTGAACAGAAATATAGAAATTCATACTTGAATAAACGAAAGCGAAATATAAACGATATTATTATGATATAAGTTCAATTAATTAAGTGAATATTAGATAGTTCTCGCCCCTCCCTCGATCAATTACTAACAACTGAAATATGAATATATTATCAAAATGTCTAAATGTTTAATGACTTTATTAATGTATTTAAGTGGCTAACTATATATATATTTGCGAAGCGAGCTTAAAGTATTGGTAGTCTTAACAGAATCTCTAAAACAATATTAAAAAGCACAAAGTAGCTTTCTAAGGAGCAGCTCACTTTGTGAAATACTCTATGCATAAAAAAATTATAATTGAATGCCGTAAAAAATGAACGGATTTGAAGTTGACAAGCGGCTAGAGATTTCCATAACAAACACTTGATATTCTAAATGTTTTTTCAAACTATAAAATATCTTATTGAAAAAAAAAATCGTTCGTATTCAACAAACAAAATAATATACAATTTGAACTAGAAAAATAATAAGGTAAAACTGAAGCAGAAAGTGAAACATAGGTATTCAGAGCATTACTAAAATGTCAGAACACTTTATATTTAACTAAGTCGCAGCAACTTAAAGCCATACAAATTTAAGTGTAATTCTGAACAATAATAATTTACTACAAAAGTTTACCGCTTCAAGTATTTCTATATACAAATAATATTAAATTTTTAATAATATTTAACGTATATTTTACATACTTTAATAATTTTTATAGTTCCTTTGATATTTCTTTAGGAAATTGTTTACAATTTGTATAAAAACAAATCATAAGCAAATATTATATATTTTTTAAATTTTAGGATAGTTAGAAAGAGCCAAAGGAAAATTAATTTATACGAATAGTTCAATGCACATTTAATAAAGATACATAATGTGCTCACTTTTGAAAATTACCAAAAGTTGGTGAAATTGATTGAACAGGAATACAGAAATTCATACTTACTTTACAAAAGCGGAACATGAACAGTATTTTTCTAAATTTGGTTGATAATTAAAATGATTTAACCTCAATTAATGAAATTCACTTGAAGTGAATATTTGAATAATTTTGCTTCTCCCTTGAGCAATTACTAACAACTGAAATATGAATATATTATCAAAATATCTAAATGTTTAATGACTTTATTTATGTGTTTAAGTGTCTAATAATATTTCCAAAACATTATTGAATACGCAAGAGTCTCTAACTTACCAAAAAGAAGCTCACTTTGAGACAAAAATAAAGCTATACCATCAAAATGCTACTGACAAAGCCGTAGAGAACGGAAAGATTGGAAGTTCAAAACCGCACTGTATAAATGTGCGAATCAAAATTGATACAACTACAAACGAAATTAATCCCAAAATGTTTAAATTCTATGTGTAAACAGTTCAAAATATTCAATAAACGTTATTCCAGCAAAGATATTGTAAAACTTTTTTATTCCAAATTTAACTTAGAAAACTAGATTCGTAATTGAATCTCTTAAAAATAGTATAATTGGCAACATACGACTGAATCCATAGGAAAATGTAGCCAGTGCTGACCAATTAAATTGTTTTGGAATGAATCACAATTGATGACAATTGTATATATTTTATTTTTTTATATAGTTATTTTATCTATTATAGGTAAATGTTACATACCTTATAGAAAACATCTGGCACATATTGTTTATCGGTCGATTCACGAACATAGCCAAGTTCGGGGGCATCCTTAGTAGGTATTAGACAATTATCACGAACCAAAGCCATGCATTGAGCTGACACAGCATAGCCCTCCATGTGAACCTGTTTAGTTTGATCACCTGATAACGGCATATAGAATATATAAATACACATAAATATACATAATCATTAGGCAAAACTCACCAGTCACACAAATGGTTACGAATTTGGAACCGAACGTGCCATTTGTGGCATATTTACATGGATTCGGATGACGATTCTGCAGCTCACCCGCTGATATACACTCCTGAGCGGTCAGAAAATGTGTCTCAATGCCGCGTATTTGTTTTACAGTGCCAGCGCTTGCATCTTCGGTAATTAGATCCGTAAAGATCCAACCAATCTATGAATTAAATATATATGATCAAGAAATACTTATTAAGACTTGATCGAATGCTTACCTTTTTAAGTCCTAATGCTTTTGCTACGGCATCCACTTCATCGGCGCCCTCATCTGGACAGATGTTGATAGAATCGCGAGACGATTCTTGCGGCGGTTCATAGATAGCAGCCACTTTGGCGCGTATGCCCAGTGGCACATCGGTATGCTGCTCATAGGTGCCATACAAAAATCCCATGCGCTGATGGCCCGTTGTACGCCAATAATTTAAAAAGCGCTCTACAATTTTGGTGTTCTCGAACATAACATTGTCCACATGACGATAAGTTTGACGGTTGAGCGTTATAGCCGACGGCTGGCACTTGGAACAGATGCCCTTAGGCCATGGTGGATGCTCCCGACAACCGGGCTTAATGCGACAATTGATGTCATCGAATACGAAATACTTTCCATGATCCATGCCAGAAGTCTGCTTGCGTATGTATGAATGGAAGGACAAGTGCTTGATATTATGTTCCTTCAGATAGCTCTCGTTATATGGTTCCAGCGGGGAGCAATGAACGCAACGACCATTGGCATTGTGATGACAGCTAAGCAAATTAAATAAAAGATACAATATAATTTAACATTTTTCGTAAAGTAATTTAAGATTTATAAAGGCAACTTTTTAAATTTTTATAAACTTATCCGCAAATATTTTGTAAATTGATTATCTACCCTTTTTTAGCTAAAACTAAATGCACTTGCCGTAGCTTTAAGGTTTTTTGTGGCTTATGTCTTCCCTTCGGATTTTTATATATTGCTGATTACGATAGATCATTATCAATGTTTCCCTTAAATCCCCCTCAACTCTAACAGCTCTGAGCCATCTGTTCGTCTCCTGATCAACTTACAGCTTACTATCGCGTTCACGCTTGATGGTGCCACTAGATTTAAACAACTGTTGATCCACCTCATCCTCGATCACTTCAAGAGAGGGACGTGAGCTGTTGTTGAGCTTTTCAGTGGATGATTTGATAGCGCTATTAAATGACAATTTGTCAATCGCTGTGGTGCTCGTGCGCTGTAAAACAAAATAGATTAATAATAATACAGAATAACGCATATATGATTTATAAAGAAAAACTCACCCGTGATGAAGTGCCCGCGATTTGTTTTAAATAAATCATGTCACCATGCTTGAGAGTGGTGCCCACCAGCTGGGTGCCGCTAGCATGTAACTCTGTGGCAAAGTTTCGCTCCATGAACAAGGCAAAACCATCGACTTTGAGCACATTTTGTACGCTGTCATAGAGCTGTTTAAGATTTGACTTAGGCGAGATCTCGATGCGTTTGATGCCCTCCGCAGACTGCACGCGTATTAGCTGTAAGTCAAGCAGTATACACATGTAATGATTAATCTATATATATAGCAAGTATAAGGCACCGATCACACCGATTGTTTACATAACGTAAAGAGACGATGTCGCACAAAGGCATAAACGAAATTGCGTTTCTTGTAGATGAAGTGCTCTAGCAGCAAAGGGGCGCTGGCCATGGTGTTGTTGCTGTTGTTTTGGCCTGCTACTGCTGCTGTGTGTGTGTGTTGTTAATCGTAGCTTGAGCTACTTTGGTTTAGCCTAAAAGGCCTGAAACTTAGCGTATTGAACTGTATAACATGAAGGCGCGCCTTTAACTGAAACAGGAAAACGAATTCGTACCAAATATCGTTTTTTTTTGGCATTACTTACAGAATGTAAAAAAAATTATTAAGACTGCGCCAAAAAGAGAAAATGTTCCCACTGCCATGGTCACACAAATACACGATTGCACTCTTACACTGCCTCCTCTCCTCCTTCATCTATCTATCGGTCCGTGGCTTTGCTTGCAAAATTTACAAGTCATTGTACCTTTGTTTGTGTGTCTGTCCGGCGTCGTGTCTGTTGTCTGGCGTCGCCGTGGCAACGAATTCGCACTACCCGTACCCATCGACGGGGTGTCCGTTATGCACTGCACTTACCGCAGAACCTTTGCACACACAGTTTGTTTAAAAAAAGCAAATTTTTATTAGCAACTGCAACAACAGAGCTTTTGCAAAATGTTATATGCCGGCGTTTTGAAACAGTAAGCACGCAGAGTCTAGCGTCAGTTATGTCCTTTTCGAATATACAGTGCTAGAATGCTTAACACAACCTTTCCTCATAATTAACGCTTTGTATCAATTCAATTTGCAGTTTACTTACAATTTTATCAGACATTGCTTCAAAAAAAATAGCACTTGGAAGCAAATCAGCACTTGTGTAGACAGTAGGGACTAAGTGTGACCATGCGTACACCATGCAAATCTAACTAAAAGTCAATAAGAAAAGTATCGACTACTGTTAATTATGTGGCGGTCGAACGATAAAAAATGTTATTATCCGAATGGTGGCAAATATGCAATAACGTAAATTTAAAACTTTATTATTAATATTGTTTTTTGTGCATATTTTTATAATTTTAGTTTCAATTTACAACATACAAGCATTTTAGTGGAAGACTGCATTTTAAAGCTATAGCGCGCGTGCAACAGGAATTTTAGTCATATTTTAAATTGCCCATGCATATGTACTTGATATCCACATAGTCGTCGATGCCATGACTAGATCCTTCACGTCCCACGCCTGACTCCTTCACACCACCAAATGGCGCCTCTGGTGCGGAGATGATGCCCTCATTTACACCCACCATGCCCACCTCCAGTCGTTTGGCCACACGGAACACCTGTTGCAGATTCTCACTATAGAAATAGCCTGCCAGACCACGTTTAGTGTCATTAGCCTTCTCCACCGCCTCTGCCTCATCTTTGAATTTGATAATGGACACCACGGGCCCAAACACCTCTTCAGTATATATATGTGCCGACGTTGGGACATCTGTGACTATTGTTGGTGCATAGAAGAGCTCGCCCACCTCCTGCAGCCCCTTGCCACCAACAATTATGTTGGCCTTTTTGTCGCGAGCATCCTCCACAAAACCGCTGACCTTGTTGTACTGCATCTTATTGATTAGTGGACCGATTTGCACATCTCCGGACTTGCCGTCGCCAATCTTGAGCGCCTCGACGCGTTCTTTCAGCTGTGTCACAAATTTATCATAGACGCCCTCCTGGACAAAGAAGCGATTCGCCGAGACACAAGTCTGACCGCAGTTACGGAACTTGGATGCCATGGCGCCATCCACTGCCTTGTCCACATTTGCCGAATCGAAGACTATGAACGGTGCATTACCTCCCAACTCCAAGCATACACGCTTAATCCCATCGGCGCAATTGCGGAAGAGCAGCTTACCCACCTGAGTAGAGCCAGTGAAGCTAATGCCACGCACATCGGGGCTCTTACAAAATAGCTCACCAATTGGTGCAGCATTCTTGGTGGTCACTACATTGATCACACCCTTAGGTATGCCAGCCTGCTCGGCCAGTTTGGCCACAGCGAGGGCTGTCAGTGGCGTATCCTCTGATGGCTTAACGACCACAGTACACCCGGCTGCCAAAGCAGCTCCTGCCTTGCGCGTTATCATGGCCAATGGGAAATTCCAGGGAGTTATCAGCGCGGCCACACCTATAGGTTGCTTCATGACAATAACCTCGCGATTTGGCTGTCCACTGGGCACAATTTCGCCATAGATGCGACGGGCCTCCTCGGCAAACCATTCGACAAATGCATTGCCATAGACGACCTCGCCCTTGGACTCATTGATTGGCTTACCAGACTCGGCGGTCATGATTTCGGCAATTTCCTGGGCATGCTTTTCGATCAGGCTGTGCCATTTCTGAAACGAATTAGAAAGTATTTAATATATAACTATTGGTATGTCATTTTCTATTTATTTTACTTTGAGCATATTGGAGCGATCCTTAGCAGTTAGCGCGCGCCACTCCTTCGACTCGTACGCCTGCTTGGCGGCATCTATGGCCTGCTGTGCATCCTCAACCGTCATATCGGGCACATTGCCAATCACCTGACCAGTGGCTGGGTTTTTCACCTCGAATGTTTGCCTACTGCACGAATCAATCCAATTGCCATTCACCAGCGCCTTGGTCTGCACCAGCGCCGAGAAACCGCGCATTCTGCTGACATTCAATGAACTAAGCCTCCGCAACATCGTTTTACCTACTTTTGGCAACAAATCAATGTTAATGTCAGTGCTGTTTGTGCCGGCAATTACTTATCGCTTATCAGTACTCGCATTATCTCTTACCTTTTATAACTGGTACAGCTTAGACCCAGTTTTTAGATAACTCTATTTTCCACTTTTTATTCTGTTTGTACGGCTTTTTGTCTTTTTGATTAGTTTCAATTGATTTTGATTACAGCGAATGGACGAGCACAGCTGAGTGCAGATGAAGGATGTTACGTAAAGTAGTACGCGCCTTACGCTCTTTTAGCGCATGACGTCACAAATACAACTGTGCTATACGAATATCTCGAATGCTGTAAGCCTACTCATATTTGTAGCGAACATGTGTATTAAAACAATCTAATTTTCATTTAAAAATAAAAATACCGTTAATTTTAAATAATTAAATATTTCTACCATGAGGTCAAATCAAGGGATATTATAAAAATATTCATTAATTGTACGTTATTGAATAATGAGAACCCTCTCACTGCATGCATATATGTGTCGTCAGGTAGTGTATTTATTTGTGCTCTCTTATCAAAGATTAGTCGAGCGTAACCTCTATTGATAGCCATCTAAGAACACGCAAAATTATCGATATGTTATTTGACATTCTAACGGGTAATACCTATGTAATCTTAACATTTTTCTGTTAACCGCAAGCATTCTATGTTTTCGTGCTTTACTTTCACAGCAGTCAGCCTCTGTCTGGTTGTGGTTAGCGATCGCTTCAATGCAAAATGAAAATTGTTCTACGCAGAAGAAAGTAGTAGCCCGTTGTCCATTTTAAGTTATTGCTTTTGTTGTTGCAGACAGCGCCACTTGTTTGCACGGAAGCTATACAACCAAATTTAACCAGCCTAGACTCCATTTGCAGCGAGCCATTCGCCAGCCTTTGGCTTCATTTTTACTAACCTTTTTGTGTGCCATTTACCTGTCGCTTTGCAAGAGACGACGCCGCCGCCGCAGCCAAAGCCCCCAGCCGGTGCACAACTGCTCCATTTATTATGCACAGCTATGGTCATAGATTTCACATGTGCCGATGGCAGGTTCTGACTGCTGGCTGCCTCTTACCTACGCGCCAAGCTACTGGTCATGCAGCTTCCTAGTGGACACCCTATGCAATCTGTGTTGCAAATTTTTGTCAATAAATTTTCGGCATAGAATGCCAAAACACTAGCTACACTAGCTGACCATGCCGACCATCATAACTGTTAAGATAAGATTGCATAGATGTGATGGGATGCGGAGGCTAAAAATGAATTCAATTAGTTCTGATTTAAAACTAATTGAAAATGCGTCAAGCTAAACGAAGAGCGAAGACGCGCGCGCCTCTGGCAATGGGCCTGTCGATAGGTGTGTAAGTTATTTGTCTTAAGTGCTGCCTGGAGGCGTTGCATGCCACAGCGCTTCACGATCGCCTGACTTTTATGATTATGGCCAAAAAGTAGAGAGCGTGGCAACAAGCTAATGAAGAGCTCACATTTCGGAGCACATTCTAATGTCTACTTAACTGCACAATTGTGACAAGTTCAATGCGGCTGCAAAATAACAAAATTTATAGACAATGTGGCCCCTGCTCTACAAGAATATAACTAGGCAGCATGCCTTTTGTCTAGCTAATTGTAATACGAAATCATAACACGCCATAAAAACGAGACAAAAGCAAGGCAGATAGGGAAACCAGTTTCAAGACACAAGAGCCAAGCAGCTGGTCAATGGCAAACAATGCTCTAAGAAAAATCTACTGAAGTAGTAGAAGCAGCAGCGGCAACAGCATCAGTAGACGGAGCAGCAGCTCAGCCATAAATCATGTTTGGAAACACGTTCCTTCAGAAGACAAAATACAAAATAAAGGAAACTCATAACATCTGTTGTTTTGGAACCGACAGCTTTTTCTGAAAGGACAAAGCGACTGGCAGGCAGGCAGGCAGGACTTGCAGCAAGCTTAGGGCGTCGAACTGGTTGCCACAGAGATAAATGAGTTCGGTGCGATCGTGTTCTCAGCAGCTGCTCCTTGCCTACTCGCTCAAGTTAAGCGCCACACAAAATGGCTGCCAGGATAATAGCTTTGCCTCCTGCTGCTGCTGACTCACCTTGGCACGTGGTTTAGCTCCTTGACAGCAGTTGCAGCTGCTCAAAAAGAAAACAAGTCACAGTGGTCTAATCTAACCTGACTGGTCAGACAATACCCTCTATAGAGCTATGAACTACACTAAGTAAGAACTTGATTCAATATTTGAGTCTTATTTGCGATCGTTCAGAGTTATTGACTAATTTTAGATTAAACCAAATTCAAACTAAGTTTAATTGATCGCCAAGAGTTTATTAGTCTTCATATCAGACTCTAGCTACAACTATACACTGGACAAAGGAAAAATCAAAGTGAAGAAAGTCTTCCTAGTCCGAACACATATATGATTTATTACTTACTTACTGCTCAATTATACCCTAACACTTCATTGGCTACAGGGTATTCAAATAATCAACGTCAAGACGTCGTTGTGTGGCAGCTGTACGCAATTTGGACTGTGCTCAGGACTATCCCATTCGCAACGACTTCTGGCAGCAGCAACACGTGTGTATTCATGCATGTGTGTGTGTGGCTTAATTATTATTTACCTTTGCCTCAAGGTTATGGCATTATTATAGCCAACTTGGTTATTAATTCATAATCTGGATCCTCGCCTCTGCGTTAGCTCTATTGTTTGTGATCTACTTTCGTTAGGGTCTCTTAGCCTTTGCCAGCCCGGTTGCCCTTGAGCTTGGGCCAACCCTATTGAGTTGGTTGGCAACCGCGCAACCCCAATTGTAAAAAATAATAATTACGCACTCACACACACATGGAATCTATGAGTTTCCTTGCTGATTGTCATCTTCTTCTTGCCACGCATAATCTTTGCCATTGAAATGCGAGTAGGAAATTGTATTGCGCATTCCTTTCAACCCAAGCAAAAGTCGAAGTTTTAGTACAATTATTGTGCCATGTTCGCATTGTTTGCTATGCGTAACTCATCTCTGAGCAGGGTTCCTGTAGCCGATTCGCCATGGGGTTGGTCTTATTGCCAAACAATTGACATACACTGCGGAAAACGATAATTGC